TCCCCAGGGAACTGTAAGGCCTCTCATGAGGGAATCATCAAAGTCTGACACATCATTTGGGGCAGGGTCTAGGCCCTCCCTCATGTATCTAGGCTGAGAGAGTGAGACAGTATCCCTCCATAGGGAATGGGCTCCCAAAGTCCATTTGTGCACTAGGGATAAATACTGGTTCCACTACTAGAGGCCACATAGACTGCCCAGGCCTCCCAACGGACACCCATGGTTTGATCCTATGCTGGTTCCCCAGCTGTCAGACTTGGGTCCCTGAACTTCTATTTGTTCAGGTCAGCTGTTTCTGTGGGTTTCCCCAGCGTGGTCTTGACCCCTTTGCTCATCACTCCTCCCTCTCTACAACTGGATTCCAGGAGTTCAGTTCAGTGCTTAGCTGTGGATCTCTGCTTCTGTTTCTATCAACTACTGGATGAAGGCTCTAGGATGGCATTTAAGGTACTCATCAATATCATTTTAGGGGAAGGGCATTTAAGGATTCCAGGAGTTCAGTTCAGTGCTTAGCTGTGGATCTCTGCTTCTGTTTCCATCAACTACTGGATGAAGGCTCTAGGATGGCATTTAAGGTACTCATCAATATCATTTTAGGGGAAGGGCATTTAAGGTAGCCCCTCCCTTATTGATTAGTTCTTAGTTGGGGTCATCCTTGTGGATCCCTGGACATTTCCCTAGTGCCTATAAACCTATAATGACTCCCTCTATTAAGGCATCTCGTTTCTTGCTCTCCTCTATTCTTCCCCCAACTCCATCTTCCTGATCCCTCATGGTTTCCGCCCCCGCTTCTCCCCTCCTCTTTTTCCTCCCTCCCTCCCACTACAATCCCAATGTGTTCAGGAGATCTTGTCCCTTTCCCCTTCTCTGGAGAACCATGGATGTCTCTCTTAGGGTCCTCCTTGTTTCCAAGCTTCTCTGGGGTTGTGGATTGTAGGCTGGTTATCCATTGCTTTATGTCTAAAATCCACTTATGACTGAGTACATACCATCCTGAGTGAGGAAACCCAGATACAGAAAGACAAACATGGTATGTACTCAGCCTGCTTTCTTATAGAACCCAGGATCACCAGCCCAGGGATGGCACGACCCACCCTGGTCTGGGCTCTCCCCGACTGATCACTAAACGAGAAAATGCCTTACAGCTGGATCTCATGGAGGCATTTCCTCAACTGAGGCTCCTTCCTCTGATGACTCTAACTTGTGTCAAGCTGACACACAAACCAGCCAGTACAGGGGCAAAGAGATGGCTCAGTTGGGAAAGTGCTTGCCACATGAGCCTGAGGACCTGTGTTCAAGCCGCATCACCACACAGAGTCAGGTATGGAGGCATGCACGTGCACCCACAGTGCTGGGAGACAAGACCAATCCCTGGGGCTCACTAGCCAGCAACTTAGCCTCATTAGTGAGCCAGTGAAAAATATTGTCTTATAAAGAACAAAACGACAGCAAACAGAGGTGGATGGCTCATGAGGTTGACCTCTGACCTCCACATGGACACACATGCATGTGCACCTGCTGCCTATACATTTGAAACTGCACACACACACACACACACACACACACACACACACACACACACACACAGATAGAGTAAGACAATAAACTCACAGGCATATCCAAGTGCTCTATCCAGTTAAAACAGCATATATATTCTTTCTCAAGTATACATGGGATACTTTTCAAAATAAAGCAGTTGTTATCACATAAATCAAGTCTCAATATATTTGAAAATACAGATAGCATCCAAAGTTTTTTCTCTCATAAGTAGATGAAGTTAGAAATCAATGCCTGGAAAATTTATGTACTGTTAAAAACAAATGGATGGAGGGGGCAGAAATCACCAGTAACACTTTAAAAATACCTAGACAAAATGAAAATAAAAACACCACAGAGAAAGTTATTGACCAGAGAAGACAGCACAAAAGGTAAATTGAGGGATGAGGGCTGGAGAGACGGCTCAGTGGTTAAGAGCACTGCTGCTCTTCCAGAGGATCTGAGGTCAATTTCCATATCCACACGGCAGCTTCACAACTGTCTGTAACCCAGTCCCAGAGGATCCGACACCCTCTTCTGGCCTCTAAAGCACTGATGTGTATGTGATGTACTGCTGGGGAATATTATATTAAGATGTGTGACTTTTGTTTATGTTGCATTTGTTTAACTCTGTGAAGCTGTGTTACTCTGCTTGTCTAAAACACCTGATGGCCTAATAAAGCGCTGAACGGCCAATAGTGAGGCGGAAGAGGGAGGTAGGTGGGGCTGGCAGACAGGATAAGTATGGGGAGACATCTGGGGGAAGGATCTGAGGAGCAGGCAATGAGAGAGGAGGAGAACTTCAGGGGCCAGCTACCCAGCCACCCACAGCCAGACACGGAGTAAGAAGGAAAGAAAAGGTATACAGGAATAGAGAAAGATAAAAGCCCCAAGGCCAAAGATTGATGGGATAATTTAAGTTAAGAAAAGCTGACAAGAAACAAGTCAAGCTAAGACTGGGCATTCATAACTAAGAATAAGCCCCCTTGAGTGATTTATTTGGGAGCTGGGTAGAGGGCCCCCAAAAGAGTCAAAAGGGTAAAACATCGCACAATGAACAGACATATATCCTTTCAAAATACACAAAATACAAAACAATGAAAAGATGTTACCTTGATTTTATAACGTCATATACTAGGAAGAGAAATAAAAGGTTCAAAGTTAGCATAATGAAAAAATAGTAAAGATTGGAGTAGGAGCCAATGAAATGGGAAAGGACAGGCAATAGGTAAAAACCAATTATACCAAAAGGAAATTCCAACTGACAAACACTTAGAAAACTGAGAAAAAAGAGAGAAGGTGCCATTACTAAGACTCAAATGGAGGTGAGGTTTTGCTGTTAAATGTAAGAGGATCAATTATAATGCAATAAAATGATTGCAACAAATTACAGTCCTGGGCATAATGGCCTTGCCTCACAGCTGAATTTTTGAAAAATCTAAAGAATGAGGAAGCGAGTGTTTTTTCAAACTTGGCCAAACAAAGGAAGATAAGAAACTAATATCTAACCTCGACACCAAAGCCAGACAAAAATACTATTGACCAATATCTTCTATAAACATTAATGTAAAAACAGCAACAAATTACTATCAAACCAAAGCAATATCTTAAATAGAGTATACCACAGTCAAGTGGAACTTATTCCTAGAATACTAGAATACAAAGATGGCTCAATGTAACGGAAAAAAATCAATCAATACAACATTTCACCTTAACAGAGTGAAGGACAAAAACTATAGCAGTCTCTCAACTCATGCAGAAAAAAGTATTTGATAGATTTTAACACTCCCTCATGATTGAAAAAAAAAACTGAATGAACTAGAAATAGCACGAATCAACTTCAACATAATACAAGGTACCATGAAAAGCCCACCAGTGACAAACTAGCAGCATTTCCTCCGAGATCAAAAACAAAGTGGGATGCCTGATTTCACCACTTCTATTACAGTGTGTGGAAAGTGCCAGTAAAAGCAAAATAATGAATAAAGGCATCCAAATTGGAAGAAAGATAAGATTATTTCATTTTATATATGATGCACTCTTGTAGGTAGCAAACCCTGAACAAGACAAGAGCATTTGTGCATGAGTGTGTTTGCATAACACACACACACACACACACACACACATGCACACATGTACACACATCCAGTAAGGGCTAGTAAATGAATTCAGTGAAGTGGAGTACAAAGACAAGAAGCAAAAGTCAGCTGGGTTCCTCCTCTACACTACCAAGGAACATTCCAAAAGGCAATTAAGAAGACAATTACCCTTCTAATAGCAACAACAACAACAAAAAAAGAAAATGCATAAGGATGAACCTAGTCAAAAAGGGTCCACGGGTGTGTATACTGCAAACTGTAAAACATCACTGAAAGAAATCAAAGAAGACATACAGAGATGGGAACCAATCCTGCATCCATGGACTAAGGGCTGAACACTAAGATGCCAGCACTATCCAAAGTGATGTACAGACCCAGTGCAACCCCTATTGAGTCTCAGTGGGAGTTCTGTGCACAAACAGAGAAGCCTAGCATAGAATTCCAAAATGCAGTGGATTGCAGAGAGTCAAAACAGTCATGAAAGAGAACAATGATTTCAAGATTTGCTACAAAAGTAAAGTGACTGAGCCACAAGAGGGAGGGAAACCCACCACAGAGGGATGGATCCACAAAAGGTGGACACACATATAGTTGAGGATTATTTGGGCCCCATATGGGAGGAGATCATGGCAAATACTACAACGAGGATCTCCAAGGACATTAAGCTAAGTGAAATAACCTTCCTAGTCACAAAATGGCATCCACTTACAAAGGAATTTAAAGTGGACAGAATTTACAGAGACAGAAAATGGAATTGCTACTGACCAGAGGCTCGAGAAAGATGAAATGGAGAGCTGTTTGATGGGAATAGAATTTCAGCTGTGGTATAGAGAAGGTCACATAGTACTACAAAGGAATTACCTCAAATGGAAATACTCCTGGGAAATACTTTCCATGAAACCCTGAATATATGCCTGAAACATGTTTTCTCCCCCTGTACATAATAAAGATACAACTAAATTCAGAAATTAGGCACATGAAGAGATTAATTAACAGCAACAGTAACAAAATGCAAGAATTGTAACTGTGTATTATAACATTGTGTGGCTGCCAGCCCTCCCTCCCTAAGGAAACGGACTAGGACAGGGTGCCTAGAGTGGATACGCTGGACAAGGAATGACTCATCCTGGTGAGGCGGAACCAGGTGTGGTGACATTCCAGCCGCTCAGAACAGGACTCAGCCACTTAAAGTCTACTGGCTGTTTATGGAATTTCCATTTAATATTTTTAGCTATGGTTGACTGCAGTTAACTGAAAACATGAAAAATGAAACCTACAGATAAGAAGGGACTAAGGTGGTTAAGATGGTAAATTTTACTTTGTGTACATTTTACCACAATAAAAAGTTATTGGAAGGAGTTAAAGTTTTCTTTAAGTAATTATATTTTCTATTGAAAACATTCTTTTATGTAATATAATACAGAAATATAATACAGTATGAATGCAAGAACAGTAAAGTTTCATTTATATTTTAAAGCTAAACACAGAAGTAAAAAGTAACTCAGTGACACAGTGTTTGCCTAGTATGAGTGATTGCATAAAAATAAATAAATAAAAACAGTAACATCACAGAGAGTCATTTATTGTTGGCATTTTTCATTTGGATCTTCGTATGTATTTATGTCTTGACACAGTTGAACGTGAGTTATACATAAGCATGTATGCTTTTAATTGTTTTAGATAATAGGGTGCGTGGTTCGCTGAGAGCATTGAGCATGCCGTACAAAAACATGATTTTCTAGAAGGAACTGCTGAGCTGAAGACAACGTGGTGGTGAGTCAGAGGCTATTACGACAAGGCTTGTCCACCAGGAATACAGATTTGATTACATGTGACTCGTGTCAGCCTTGGAGAAATCAGGAGCAAAATATAAAGCGAGGCGACGGAGAGGTTTCTAAATGAGCCTTTGAGCCTCTGAGGCAGGTCACATGGCGGCAACTGAAATCCAAATGGAAAGCATCAACATGCCAGCCTTACTGTCTTTTAGGTACGTACCAGTGCTCATCCATTCCTTCAAAAGGTCAGAAAGCTTACCGGGAGTGGTGGCACATGCCTGAATCCCTGCTCAGGAAGCAGAGGCAGAAGGATTGCAAGTTCGAGGCACCTTGGACTACGTAGTGAGACTGTTTAAAGATAACCAGGGCTGGGAGGACAGAAGCCACATTATCAAAGGGGCTGGGCATGGAGGCGTGCACTGCAGCATCAGCACCACTGAGCTGCAACCAGGCTCAGTGGCCAGTGAGCCTAGGCTTTGAGGTGAACTCCAGGGCAGTGAGAGACCCTGTCTGAAGAAGGAAGGAAGGAAATGGGGGAGGGGAATGGGCCAACCTGAGGAACAACACCCGGGGTTCTGGGGTTGTCCACACATACACATAACCATGCCTCTAGCACCTGAAATCCTCTTCAACTGAAATAAACAAACAAACAAATAAAACTTTATATTTCCACTCATCAAAAGGATTTGCAGCCCTGGGTCGGCAGGGTAGTGGAGGCTTAGCTTTTGGCAATGTGGAGTCACACATCCCAAGCTACTCTGTCAATAGCATTTACATCTCATTTCCTGAGTCAGCGAAGTGCACTGATGTTACAACACACAAGCAGATCTTATTCCCGAGCTTTAAAGCAATATAATTTACACTGCTTAAGATCTAGCCGAGCCGAGCATTGGTGGCGCCACGCCTTTAATCCCAGCACTCGGGAGGCAGAGGCAGGCGGATCTCAGTGAGTTCGAGGCCAGCCTGGTCTACAGAGCGAGTTCCAGGACAGCCTCCAAAACAATACAGAGAAACCCTGTCTCGAAAAAAACAAACAAACAAACAAACAAAAAAAAGATCTAGCCGGATATTGAGGGAAAAATTCAGTTAAACAGTGAATTGCCTTAATACTCTACGGAGTCAAGAACCCAACTACAATCGAGGTCTCTGCATCGTTAGTGACCATGCGGTTTGGGAACTCTAAAGAAGGTTCATCCAATTTGAGTAAACGTACTCCAGTGTAAGAGTTTCAACAGAGATAAAGAATCCAGGAGAGTACAGAAGAAAGAGGTCATAGAGACCATTCAACTTTTTGACAGCTCCAAGTGCACTTCAGTGAAGCCTGGTTCCAGGCTAATTTGACAACCCCCGTGCTTCATTCCAGACTCCAAGGGCCTGAGCTACAGACCTACCCCAATGCCAGGCAACCTGGGCTGCCTCAGGTTCAAGGTCCATTCTTTTGATTCCAGTATTCATGTTCTCCCCAGGACCAGGGCAGCACTCACAATTCCAGACTCCAGGTCATCCAAGGCTGCTCCAACCTGACTATTACCAAAAGACAAAAGGTAACAAGTGTTGGCAAAGGCATGGAGAAAAGAGAACTTGTGTCCGCGTTGGTGTGCATGTAGGGTGGTATGAACCTTATGGGAAATAGTTAAGAAAGAACTTTTAAAAGTTAAAAATAAGCCGGGGATGGTGGTGGAGGTGATGATGATGGTGTACACCTTTAATCCCAGAACTCAGGAAGTAGAAGCAGGCAGATATCTATGAGTTTGAGGCCAGCCTGATTTACAGAGTTCCAGGACAGCCTCCAAAGCTACACAGAAACCCTGTCTCAAAACAAAACAAAACAAAACAAAAAACCAAAAAGTTAAAAGTAGAACTACACACTAGAAATGTATAAGGAAAGTAAAATCAGCATTGAAAATACATTGGCAGAAAACTTCGATTGCAGCACTGTCATCAATAGACAAGACGTGAACACTGTGTTTAGTGATTTGGATGGATAAAGCAAGCATGGCACGCACAGTGGTATGCTTAAAAGAGATCTTTTCTATTTGTGACAACTGGAGGGCAATGTGCTAAGGAAAATGAACTAGGTACATAGAGACAAGACACCTGGAGAATCTTTCTCTTACTCATAGAAGGTTGAAGACAAACATTGAAGTCATAGAAACTGAACGGAACGGTGGCTGCCAAGGAGGAACAAAGTAGGGGAGATTGAGAGATGCTGGCTAAGGTTTCAATTAAGTGGGAGGAAGTGTAGCAAGAATTCTAATAGTTCATAATAATAAAAACCTGCAGTCAGATACTGAGGGTGGGGGTAGGGGAGAAAGCTGAAAGATCAGAGGAGCAAAGAGGTAGCCACTAGAGAATTCTTTCCTCTCCCAATGCTCAGACCAAAGGGGTGATCCTGTCCTCAGACTGTATCCTCAGACCGCATCTCTCTCTTGTCTCCTCGAGCCATATGTTCTTCTCTCTGCCCAGCCATATCCCTTCCTATCTCCACCTCCCTAGTGCTGGGATTAAAGGGGTGTGATCCCAACTTCTGGGATCAACTTTGTGTGAGCTCTTTCTCTTTTAGACAGATTCAATCCATTGTAGCCCAGGGTGGCCTTGAACTCATAGAGTTCCATCTGCCTCTGTCTCCGGAGTGCTGGAATTAAAGGAGTGTGCCACCATGGCCTGGCTTCTATGACTAACTAGTTCGGCAAGCTTTGCATGCTGATCTATAGGCAAACTTTATTTGCTGGATCATAAACAAAATATCACCGGAAGGAAGCAACTATTAGTACAACATGTACAACATGGTAAATGCAGTCAATAATACCTTGTTACACACTGGAAAATGCTAATAAGACATATCTTGCCAAATATCTAACAAGCAAATATCAGAATCAGTTTTGACACAGCCATTGGAATTGTTAAGAAAATTAAATATGCAATGATTAGGGTGCTAGGACTATCATCTAAAATACAGACAACGCTCAAGATCGAATCGACGACTTCAGAGAAGAAACTGAAACCTTTGGAAAGACTCCAGGAAAGTGTTAATAAGGGTAGAACACAGTAACAAAGAAAACTGCCTCTGATGGGCTCAGCAGTGGGCTTTGCACGTCAGTTGGCATAATCTCTGTAGTTATCTTCAAGGTCACTGGCCTATTATTCTGGCGACTTTATAAAAGGATATACTTTTTTTTCTATCTCCCATTTAAAAGTGTCTCTCTCTCTCTCTCTCTCTCATATATATATATATATATATATATATATATATTTATTTATTTATTTATTTTGGGTACAGAATCTCATTTTGTAGCCCTGGAAGGCCAGGCACTCACTGTGTAGACCAGGCTAGCCTCAAACTTACAGAGCTTCTCCTGACTACTTCTAGCGTGCTGGGATTAAAGGTGTGTGACACTACACCCAAGGACTTTCTTCTTAAGTGTACCTGCTACATTCACCAATACACTCTATATTCTGCACTATAAAACAATCCTTAACAAATATCTGTATGCTCCAAAGGACGCTGTAACGATAGGCGACACACAATTACTGAAAGTAAAACTAAGTATTTATTGTAGAAATTACTCACAAGATACCAAACAAGCAACCCAGAGGAGCCAAGCAGTTTTCCGCTGCCAGACCGGAAGCCGAACTCCGGGAAAAGAGACCGAGACTTCCTGTGTACTGTCTTTTATACCTTCCCCCGTAACGCCCCCTAGCCATGCCCAAAAGTGGGCCTGGCTAGTGACGTAGTTCCGCCTACGTACGTATAAGTCTTTAGTCCTGCCTAAAGTGGGTGTGGTTAGTGGTGTGGTAAACCGCCCTTTTATTACCTCATCTGTATGCGCCTCTAATAAGTCACATGTTTAATGGCGGCATACAGACTTCCTCCTACAAATATCAAAAGAAACAAGTCGTACAAAGTATTCTTTGGGTCATAATGAATTTAAACTTGAGACCAATGACAGATGGATCCCTGAAGAATCTCCCAATAATATGAAAATAAACAATAAGCCTTTAAATAAGAGTCATGGGTGGTCCCAAAGGAAATGTAAGCATACTTTAATTATTATTTTTATTTTATGTGTATGAGTATTTTGCCTGCATATAGGTGTCCATGGGTGTGCCTGGGTGTCTGTGAGATCAGAAGAGGATGTCAGATCCCCTGAAACTGGAGTTACAGATAATGATGAACTGCTACATAGATGTGAGGATTGAACCCAGATCCTCTGGAAAAGCAACCAATGCTCTTAACTATGAGCCATCTACTCGGCCATCTGAGTTACTCTCACCCTTAAACACTTTCATATGAAAATAAGAATACTAAGATTTGATCAAGCAGTACTTAAAACATACAGAGAGTATATATAGATACAGCTAAAGTAGTACCAAGAAGAAAATCCATAGCACAATCTAGTAGAGAACACACCAACAATTATTCAATTATTAGAACTAGAGAATGCTCTCAAACAATTAGCTTCCTATAAGATTTTGAAGACACAGGCAGATCTCTGAGTTCCAGGAGAGCCTGATCTACATAATGAGTTCTAGGTGAGCCAGGGCTGCCGAGTGAGACTCTCTATCAAAACAAAATTTATAAGAAACTAAAGCAAGAGAAAAAATTAAACCTAAAACAAAGAAAGAGAAGGTGGGAAATGATGATTATAAATTCATGAAATTAAAAATAAAAAAATTGATAAAATCAACTAAACCAGAATCTAAATTTTCATGTGGTAACAATAATAAACTTTTAGAGCCAGGTGTTAGTGGTGCATGCCTTTAATCCCAGCACTCGGGAGGCAGAGGCAGGCGGATCTCTGTGAGTTCGAGACCAGCCTGGTCTACCGAGCGAGTTCCAGGACATGGTCCAAAAAACAATACAGAGAAACCCTGTCTCGAAAAACAAACAAACAAACAATAAACTTGTAATGCCCTCAACATTAAAAAGAAATTTCAGCTGAGCTTGGAAGCCAGAGGCAGGTGGATCTCTGTGAGTTCAAGGCCAGACTGATCTACATAGCAAGTTACCGGACAGCAGGACTATGGCAGACATCCCATGTCTAAAAACAAAACAAAAAAAAGTCAATGTCACTATTGATAAAAGATTTTAAAAGGGCGGGGGGGGGGGGGCTGGAGGCATTGGATTGATACAAAAAAAGAAACTTCAAAGTCATTCGAAATAAAAATTCTCGGCAAATTACGTCTTGAAGTCAGTATGTAGCCCAGGCTGGCCTGAAGCACGTGACCTTGCTGCTTCAGTTTTCTTGCTCCGCATGCAACACCACAGCTAGTCAAACAGCATCAAAAGCATTTAAAGTAGATGATACTAAGTGCTGTCAAGGCTGGAATGCCCACACAGTGCTGGAGGGAACACAAACTGATACCATCACTTTAGAGGACACCCCTGGGCACTTGGATGTGAAAGAAACACTCATTGCTTAGAAGGCTTACATCCCTGTAAATTCCACATACTGACATCTTAACCCCCAAGCTGATAGGGAACGAGGGCTCTCATCAGATTAGAGTCCTTCTGAAGGAGACAGACCTTCTCTACCATGTGATGGCATAGCTAAAATGGATCACACATGACTAGAAGGCCAACCTCTACCAGACACCAATTCTCCCCATGGAGGTCTTCCCAGCCTCCAAGGCTATGAGAAACAAGTATCTGTTTATAAGCTTCCTAGCTGATGGTGAGCTTCTAGAAACAAGTATCTGTTCATATGTTGCCCAGTTGATGATCAGTGTCTAGCACACATACACTAAGTTATCAACAGAAATCCTGAACAAGAATATTTATAGTTTTATTTATAATCATTGAGAGTTACAAAAGACAGCACACTCGGGAGGCAGAGGCAGGCCTCTGTGAGTTCGAGGCCAGCCTGTCTACAAATCTACACAGAGAAACCATGTGGGGGGGGCAGAGAGACAGAGAGACAGAGAGACAGAGAGACAGAGAGACAGAGAGACAGAGAGAGAGAGAGAGAGAGAGAGAGAGAGAGAGAGAGAGAGAGAGAGAGAGAGAGAGGGGCAGGCATTAGGAATCAGTGGGTAGCAGAGCATGCCGCAGCTAGACCTGCCTTTATAGCCCCTCCTAAGGTCCTATTGGCTCAGGCGGCTGACTCTGCTGTGTTGTCCCTTCCTCACTGGTCTCTGGTCAGGCGTCTCTGCATTAGCAGTCTCTCAGCACAGAGGCAGGCCTGGCTCAGGGAGGAAGTGACTGCACATGCGGGCTGGCTTGGGTACCTGGGCAGGACCACTTCGGCGTGGGTAGGCTGGCCACAGGTTCTCCTACACCCCCTTCCCCATCAACAGACAAGCTATACTATAAACATACAGTGGACTATATCTAGCAATAAAAATGAACTATTACTATGCAGTATTGTAGGTAAAGCGTAAATGCATTTTCTTATATGAAAGAAGCCAGACCCTGAAGGATACAGATTCTATATTTCTATTATGACATTCTGGAAAAGACAAAACTAAAGAAACATAAAACAGATCTGTGGTTTCCAGGCATCAGAAATAGAAAGAAGAGTTGACTAAAATGGGACTAGGGGATTTGATGGTGATGGAACTGTTTTGTGTGGTACCGTGTGAGTAGACACATCGTTCTTTGTCAAAATCTGTGAAACTATATGTCACAAAGGTCTGCTGACTGCTGTGACTAGGAGCTTTTAGCAAAACACTTCTCGTCCCCTCCTCCCAGCAAGGCCTGCGTGCAAGTTCCTGTTTTCTGTCCATCCTTATTGTCTAAATGCTAATTCCTGTTTTTGGACCACCCTTTTCTGACCTTGGTGGGTTTTCCACCATACCTGCCTTTGGTATATAAGGCTCCACACTTGTTAAAATAAACGCCATTCTCCTTGTGAGAATAAGCCACTGTCTTTGTTTTCATTTACATCCTTAGCCCTTCGCCTCGGAGCGTTGTGAAGTAGTGTAGCGCCATAGTCTCAAACACTGCAGGCTCGTTACTCGTATATAAAATTATAAAACAGACTGGCCAGATGGCTCAGTGGTTAGGAGCAATTGTTGCTCTTTTAGAGCACCAGATTGGGCTTCCAGTACTTCATGGCAGCTCACAACTGTCTGTAACTACAGTTCTAGGGGATCCAATGATATTTCTGGCCTCCACAGGCACACATGTGACACACACATACATGCAAGCAAAATATTAATAAGGATAAAATAAAAATAAATCTTAGAAAATAGGACTGGAGAGATGGCTCATTTATTAAAAGTTAAGGCTGACAAGCAGAATGACAAACATATATAAAAAACCTTAAAAGCAAACAGGAAATTGGGTAGACAAGGTGGAATGTAGATGACCATAAAAGAATCCATCCAACCATAAGTCAATGATGTAATCATGCTCAAAATGTAATGGAGACAAGGATACAAGTAAAGATAGTGGGAAACATTTATTTTGACAAGACTGAGGATCAAAAGATACTGTGATCTAGGCTGAAAACTGGGTCCCTTCCCGGAAATATACATAACCTATTTCCTGGAATCTGTGAATGTTACTAAGTTGAGGACCGAGAGCTGGGGTGACAGTCTGAATCATTATCAAGCAGATCTTAAAGCCACTGCATACACTCTTATAAAAGGGAAGCTAAGAGATTTCATATACAGAAAGGACATGTGTAGGTAGAACAGAGAGAAATCTGGAGATGCCAGCTATGTTGGATCATTTTTTAAAAACTGGATATGGTAACCAATGACCAAATACCTCTCTTATTTTTTTTCTGTGAAGATATTTTTAAAATATAATTAACTTTTTTTTTAATGTGAGGATCTCATTTATGTAGCCCTGCCAGCCAGGAACTCACTATGCAAGCCAGGCTGGCCTTGAACTCCAAGAGAGAGCCAAAGAGATATCCTCACCTCTGTCTCTGTAGTGCTCAGAGCACTAGGATTAAGGGTGTGTGACACCACCATCGTTTAAGTGATCAGGTCCTATTATGTTACCCAGGCTCCTCTGAAACTGCTCGATTCTAAAGTGATCGTTGGAGAACGAATCCTGATACTGACTACTGAAAACCCTGCTCCTATCTTTTATACCCCTCTAGTGCTGGGATTAAAGGCGTGTGATCCCAAGTGCTGAGATCATCTTTGTGTGATATTCTCACCTCTGTTTCTGTAGTGCTCAGATGTGTGAGATGTTTCTCTTTAGGGCTAGATCAATCTTGTGTAGATCTGGGTGGCCTTGGACTAACAGAGATCTGTCTACCTCTTAAACCTGAGTCCTAGGATTAAAGGTGTGTACCACTACCTCCTAGCTTCTGGCTGCTGGGATTAAAGGTGTGTATCACCATTACCTGATCTCTATAGCTTAAGGTTGGCTTTGCTTTCTGAATCCTCAGAACAAGACAATATTTATACATGGTAGACAATGACATCCAGATTTCAGACTAGCATAAAAAGCAGTTACAAATTAGAAAAACTAATCAGGTGTCTCTTGCCACTCAGAATACCTGAAACAGCTAACTCGGAGGAAATTATTGATCACATTTTAGAGGTTCCACTATCAAGCTCAGAACGTAAGAGAACTGTTTCATTCTCTGGTGAGTGAGGCAGATGAGCACACCATGCAGAAGTACATATAGATGCAATGGGAATTTTCTTTTTCTTTCT